GCGTGTGCCACGGCATGGTCTACAAGTACGTTGGTGGGGGGGAAGTCCGCAGGATTTCTAGTCCAGCGCCCCAGGAAGGAGGGTGGTGTGCTGCCCCAAGTGTCGGGAGGGGGACCGGCGTTTGTGGGGGGCAGCTGTGACCCCCATGGGAGCACTCCCCTTAGCCTTCTCTTCTTAAGGCTGAGTAAGTCCAGTTCTTTCACTCTCTCCTTGACTGTCATGTGCTCCAGCTCTTAATCATTCTGGTGTCCCTCTGCTGGACTTACTGCAGTATGCCAGTGTTTTCTACTAGGGAGTCCAAAACTGAACATAGTACTCTAGATGTGGTGTCAGAAGTGCTGAATAGAGGGGAAAAACTTGCATTGCCCTGCTGGCTATGCTCTTTTGAGAACATTTACTAATTGCCCAATATGCAGTTGGTCTTTGCTGCAGGGACACAGTGCTGACTCAAGTTCAACTTGTTGCCCACCATGTAGGTATATGCATTTGTGTATGTATCTATGCATATATCTTAGAAGTGAAAGTATTTCTGTAACATAGGAAAAGAAGCATGACACACAAATCCATTCATCTGTGCACTGATCTTTGCATTTTTTCTGCTGACGTAGATGCCTGCATTCATGCAGAACAAGTTGCAGGACTAATGAATTCTTTGAGTTAATTGAAAATTATATTGATTTATTTAATAGAATGATGTCTCATTTATACTTAATAGAAAATTAATTAATAGGTTAATCAGTTAGAGAAGAACACGTCTGCAGCAATTCAAAAATACTTTATTGCTGAAGTCTTGCTCTGCTGCTGAAATAGGATATTTGTCAATAAGTTTCACAAGTACTTTGCGAAATTAATAAATGGATACTTACATAAAAGTAACTTTCACAGCAGAAAAAATAAAGGCAAAAGACCGTTTCATAATTTCTGTAAAGGAAAAAAGTTAGTCGCTCAGATTAAAGAATTTAACACAAATTGATAGAGGAGTCTTCTGCTGAGACCACGCATAGCAAATAACAGTGCTTACAACTGTCCTTAACAAATACATACAATGGGTTTAGGACAATGTGTACACTTGGAGGGCATGCTGTTAAAAATATATTGGCCAAAGACTTATCATAGGAAATCCTTACAAATGAATCAACACTTCTTACCATTCCATTGTTTGTAATCTAAGAGAAAAGTGAAAAAGAGACTGAATGTGCCCCTTTTCTTTGGAAAGTGAGAAAACCAAAATGCTTCATACACAGTGCACCTTAAATTCTGCAATTTCAAATTTAATTGTTGTTGGCAGATGCTATTCTTTGTTAAAATACCTAGTTGAAGCTAATCTAGTTGAACTTGTCAAACAGGAGAGAATAATATGGGATGTGGCTTGTCCTAAAAAAATCTACTTGTGCTGCTGGTTGCCCTGTTTCACTAGACACTATTTGTACTCAACAGACCTTAACTGACTGTTGTCACTGGAGGGTGCAGCTGTTCATCCACTGTCACAATTGGCTGTTCCAGAGTCCATTTTTAACCTCACTTTTTTCAGAGACTAGTTGCATTCATCTTTTCCAACCGCCAGCACAGGGCACCAACTACTGCTGGGGAAAAAAAAGCTCTCCCCTCCCAGCTTGTTCACTCTGAACCCTACTGATACACCAAGACTCCTGTTGACTCTGCAAGCTCAAGCACCAGGCTGCGCCCCCCCCCCGCTTTCCCCTCTGGCTGCTCCAGGTTGCAGAGGGAGCGTGAGGCCTTGGCCTGCAGGGACCCCTGCCCAGCCCACTGAGGTCATTATCACCCCTGGAAAATGAGCCCAGGAAGCAGCACAGGGCCAGGAGCTGGAAAAGCATCAGAGCCTGGAGCAGGGCACTTGGCCAGGGCCATGCCACCCCTGGGAGCTCACCAGGCTCCTTAACCTCAGCCAGGGGCTGGTACAGGGACAGGAGCCCCCCAAGGAGGGGGAGGGTGGCTGCACAGGACCCAGCCTGGCCAGGAGCCCAAGGCTGGAGCAGGACCCCACCCCCGCAAGTGCCCTCATCATTTCCCCATCCCCTGGGAGAGTGCTGAGCTGTGTCTGGCCTCAGCTCCCAGCTGAAATGTCTCCCGCTGAAAGGGAGCGCCGTGCGCTCAGTGCTGCTCACCAGTCCCTGGCCACAGCGCAGGGCGGCTGCAGCCCCCCCGGCCCCTGCTGCAGCGGAGGCGGCTGGGGGAAGTC